TTTGTCGTTTTCCAAGAAAAAAGGAGGAGGAAAAAAAAGGGGGGGAGAATCTTCCGGCGGGCTTTTGGTAGCCTGCCCCCCGCCTTTTAATTTTTACGGTCCGCCTCGGCCCCCGGGCTGCGGGGGGCGGGGGGCCCCCCCCCCGCCCCCGGGGAAAAAAAAAAGGGCAGCTGCCATCCCCATTGGGCCGCCCCCCCTTTTGGTTTCCCCGGCAAGCGGCCCTGGCCAACCATTTTCTGGGGGGGGGGGGGGGGGACACGCAGGGGGTGTTTTCTAAAGACGCGGGGGAGAGGCACACCGCGTGGGGGACCCTGGAAGCACGGTATTTATGTGTGGGCCCCGCCTCCTCTCGGGTGCACCCCCGAGTCATCTGCGATTTACATAACGAGCGCTGGGCCCCAAGGGCAGGCGCGGGTGGAGCGCGCGGGAACCTGCCTCTTACACACACAAGGCCAGTTCCTTCGCCCTTCTTTACACTGAGCGCTCAGCGAGGCTGCAGGGCTGAGCGTGTGCGGGAGAGTTCACAGTTGCAGCAAACTGAACGGCTTAAGTTGGGATTCCGGGCCTCCAGTACCATCCACCTCTCAAAGGTTCTTATCTTTGGCCTGGAGAGGGCACAACGTGGTAGAGGGGTCACCCTGTACTCCTAACCGGCGTTTAATGGCTAACACACTGCAGGGCCGCCCCATCTACGGTCCCGCCTCCTTCCCCCTGCAGTTGTGGCCCTGCGTTTACATAACGCAAAACCAGGAATTTGGGAGACTTAATATTTTATCCACATTCATCCCCACTCTCATCGCCACCGCGGATTTCAGTCAGTATTTTTGCAGGGACTTGCTTCAACAGTGAGTTAGACTACATTTGTATCTCTGAGTTGCTATGGCGACCACATCCCCATTTATTTAAAAAATGTTTGTACAGGGACCTCCCGAAAGTAAATGAAGAATTATATAAGACGCTCAGCATTTGGGACCTATCTGATCAGTTTGTGTAAATGGGAGTACGGAGAGTGGCACAACTGAGCTGTGTGAGACTGAGCTGTGTCCCAGGAAGAATGTTCAGATTAGGACCCCAATTTGAATTATCCTGAAAGGGAAGAAGAAGGCTGTCTGTATGACGCTGCTCTGTTCTTTTCTCGCCCCTGCCATTCTGGGTTGGCAGCTGTCTTCTTACTGAGACCTAGAGGAAGGGCCGAAAGAACCTTCTTTCATTTGGTCATTCAGAGAGTTTTTATCGCGTTTATGTGTGAGAAGCACTGTGTATGTACAGATCTACTAAGCTAATTTAAAAGTGGTTTTGGTCCTCAAACTGCTTATCACTTGGAGAGGAAGATTAAAAAAAAAACACACAGAATCAAATACGAAACAAGGAAAAAAGTGAATGCTAGAAGAGATACTGATTATAAAATCATGACATTAAAATTTGAGAATGTCTAGTTTTCTATAGGTATCTTGGAATGTTTGGAAAGCAAGATTCTCTCCCAAATCCATGAATACATCACTGATTCCTCTGTTACAGCAATATCACTATCTGTGTGACGGGGTGTTTGCTTAACCTCCTTGGGTGATCCTATAAACTAGATGATCTGTTAAGATCCCAATTCCAAGGATGGTATGAATGAAAAAGTGACCAAGGTTGCCATTAGCAGGAAGTTAAAGTGATAAAAGTTCATTAAAACTGTATTAGGTTTGGGTTGATCTCAGATATGTAGGTTATAAATGTGTTTCTTTTATTCTGATTCTCATGAACAAAATCGCCCTCCCAGGTGACAACATTTATTACTGATGCTGGAGAAAATGGGTTTCTAAATGTGTGATACTGCTTCTGGGAAGTGTCCTCGGCAACCATAACATCAAATAGATGTTTCTGTTGTTTTCCTTCTGCAAGACTTCTTATCAGCTCCTGCTTGCATTACAGTGAGGAGGAAGATAACCTCAAATGCTGGAGGGGCAGTGGCAGCACAGCAGAAGGGCATGCTCGCCTGTCTCCTCTGGTGTGTGCTGTGGAGCAGCAGCGTGCTGGAAGCTGGTCCATCCTTGCTGCTTGACACAGTCGCTGCAGGGAAGAAACATCTGCACAGCATATGTTTCAAGGGACCTGGCGTATATGGCATACTGTTCTTAATACGTTTGCTCCCCTTCTTGCTATGTGTTTTAACCAAGGTCACCTCTCCGAGAAAGGTTGTTTCCCCAGGTAGGGATTTTTCCCTGAAGTTAGGGAGGGAATAAAACCCCTAAACTAAGTGCCAGGCGGGTAGTTAATCACTTTAACTACGATCAATCACGATTAAGCTACATAATCTTTACTCCCTGGAATGGAGATAAGAAACGCCCTAACCTTTGGAATAGAAATTGATGGGATTAAAATCAACTGATATAAATACAGATGTAGCAAGACAATAAAACACAGAACTTAATAAGCATAACCAATGGACATAAGACACTGGGGGGTAGGGGAGGCCAGGGGATAGTCAAGGGCGGCGGTGGGGGGGAAGGGGGAGACATATGTAATACTCTTTGTAATATTTTAAGCAATAAAACAATAAATAAACAAACACAGAAGTTGGCTGGAGATACTGGCAAGAGAACTTGGCTATGATGATCACCTGAACGCTGCCTCAGTGTCATTCCTTCTTCCCCGACTCCGTCCACACCTTTGAGAACCCCTGGACCTGCTGGGGCTGGACCCCAACAGCAGCGGATGGATACTGGGGGAAGAGCCGGGCAGGAAGCTGCAGATGGTGGGCCAAGGCCTTTCATTCCGTGTTTGAGAGAAACCTTGGTTCTGTCCTAGCGCAGATCCCTGCAGGGGCCAGACTGCGTGTGCGGTCATGATGTCAGCATACACCCAGGCTCTGGAGGGAAGAAGGCCTGGGAGGAGTTATTCCAGCACTTTTACCCACATGTTCCAAGTCAGCTGAACGCATCAGTCCTTTCAGCCGAAACTGCCTTAGACATTGACCCTTTCATGCCTCAGATTCCACATCTAAATGAAATAATATGGCATTTGTCTTTGTACACTCAAAGAGCAGGCAGCAGACCCCTCTGGGGCAAATCCTGCTTCTTGGGGGTCATCCCCCACACAGCAGCTTGCATGCTGTGGCTGTGGCTGTGGAGAATCCTCAGCCAGTCAGCCTGAGGGTCAGTCCCACCCACTGACATGCCACAGCAATCAAGGCTCAACTACAGCAGGACACATGCAACCTGCTCAAGTAATCAGGAAAACTGCCACTGGGCCCCACAGGACACCTGCTACATAAGGCCACCCAGCCAAGACTCGAAGATATAGCATATCGACCTAATACATAGGAACAGAGAGGCAGCCAAAATGAGGAGACAAAGAAACATTTTTCAAATGAAAGAACAGGAAAAATCTCCAGAAAAAAGAGCTAAATGAAATAGAGGCAAGCAATCTACCAGATTTCAGAACATGCTTATAAAGATGCTCAAAGAACTTAGAATTTCAACAAAGCTAGTAAGCATAAAAAGGACATAAAAGCCATAAAAAAGAACCAGTCAGAAATGAAGGCTACAATAACTGAAATGAAAAATGCACTAGAAGCTATCAACAGCAGATTAGATGAAGCAGAGGACTGAGTCTGTAATTTGGAAAGCAAGGTAGCAGAAAACAAACCAGCAAAAAGATAAAAGGATGAAAGAAATGAGGATAGTTTAAGGACCTCTGGGACAAAATCGAGCATAGCATTTCCATCATGGGGTAACCAGAAGGAGAAGAGAGAGAGCAAGGGATTTAGAACCTATTTGAAGAAATAATGGCAGAGAATTTCCCTAACTTGGCAAAGGCTATAAAAACTATTGGAAAAAAGAATTCCTCTTCCTCTATTGTGACTCACATCTAACTAATAGAATATGGTGGAAATGATGCTATATTAGTTCCAAGAACATAACTTTCATTTGTTACTCTCCTTCCTGAATCATTCACTCTGGGAGAAGCCAGCTGCCATGTTGTGAGGATACTCAAGCTGCCTTGTGGAAATGATGCTGAAGAGCGGAACTGAGGTTCCAGCCATGTGAGTGAGCACCTAGAAAGGGGATCCTCCAGCTTCAGTTGAGCTTTCAGAGGACTGCAGCTACATCTGACATCTTGAATGAATTTTCATGAGAGATCCCACGTCAACACTTTTTAGCTAAGCTGCTTCTGACCCACAGAAACCTTGAGAGATAATAAATGTATGTTGTTTTAAAAAAATGCCATTCTCAGAGAACTTTAATACTATTTACAAGATTTGGGTCCATAAACAAGAGAGAGTATTTTAGTAATGACAAATATTTGCATCTCATAGTAGGCCTTAGAATAAGAAATGCAAATATTGTTTGGCTTTTTATGTCCAGTCAATCTTTTTGAAAATAGGACCTATGGAGTCTTGGATGATATGCAGTCCCTACAGGAACATCTGAAGTCTAATAAAGAATTCTCTGATCAATTTATTTTGGTAAAAATTCTAAAAAGCTCAGTCACTATTTCCATCACCAAATTCACTTACATTGGAAATAGTGATTCAAAATTCCATCATAGATATTAAGTACATATTATGTGTCCATCAATATACTAGACCAGGGGTGGGCAAACTTTTTGACTCGAGGGCCACAATGGGTTCTTAAACTGGACCGGAGGGCCGGAACAAAAGCATGGATGGAGTGTTTGTGTGAACTAATATAAATTCAAAGTAAACATCATTACATAAAAGGGTACGGTCTTTTTTTTTTTAGTTTTATTCATTTCAAACGGGCCGGATTTGGCCCGCGGGCCCTAGTTTGCCCACGGCTGTACTAGACAATAGGCATGATACCAAAGAAGCATCAAAGTTGGTCCAGTCTCTGAG